TGGTTTAAACCAGACCCTGTCCTTCACTTTGGTTCGTACATGAGTCAGGACTTGACACATAGAGAAATAATTCTTGCAGGAGGCGTGGCCTCTGCTGAAGTTTAAAATGATTGGATCAGTTGGCTGCAACGTATGTCGCTGTGACGGAGGCTAAGCTAAGAAGCTAACCAGAAATCACGTGTGCTGTAAACAACCCTACTGAGAGGAGAGAAGTACCGAGCCGAACGAGACGACTGTAAATGAGAGCTGCTGCTTTGTCAGATAAATTAAATTTAATTTAGAAGCCTTATCAACACGGACTGCTTCATTCACTTCCTCCACTGCTGTATGCTAAAATAACTAGCAGACACTGCGCAGAAAGTCGACGTCGTTCAGAGCTCCTCCTTCTGTTTGCTGATTGGCCCAGGTAAAATAAACTACAAGAGCCACTGCGCAGAAAATTGACGTTCTCTTCTCTGATTGGCCCGGCTAAAAATCTGCCAGTGAAATCATTCTCAATGGGAGAAGTCCCAGACGGAGCAGTGAAGGGAAACTAGAATTGAGCGGAGCTGCGTAGGAAGGCAAGGGCCAGGCTAGTAATGCTGGCTAGCTTAGTAAGTTTGCTAACAGAGTACTAACATTACTACTAACATTATTTTGTAGTTAGCTATCTAGTGTCTACTTTTCTGAGCAACATGATTATCACAGAAAAATCATGGAGTTGATAAATGAATCTGTAAATCTGTAATTTCCTTTCATGTGATCAATAAAGTATCTTTCAGTTCAGTAATACTTAGGGTACATGTATTCTGCTGCGTCAAACCGACCTCCTGCTGGTAAAACTGCAGGTATCAGATTTGTAAGTGGGACAGAAAATGTAACTTGACAGTCACAGTTGGTAAGAATCAAAAGATCCCAAAGCAAACCCTTGAGATTCTGTATGATATGCTTGGGGTCATTTTTGATCCCACTCATGAAAAAGTGGGGTAGTGACACAAAAACTGCAATTTCTTAAAATGTATGAAATTTTTTTTAAAAATTCAAATGGCTTCAGGTCACAAACATGTTTTATGAGGAATATACAGAAGTGTAAAACCTTTTAATTTCAGAGATTTTTAAGAATAACAACCCCCAGGGCCATTTTTGACGCTGGGGGTTTGACATGAGGAAAGTTGTGTCTTGAGATGTTTTGTTGATTCTTAAACATTTTTTCCTGAGAACTACTTCCTTGTGGAACTTCTTTCTCTCAGGGTCTGGACCTTCCCCTCGCTTAGAAAATCTCTCCTGAGCATAGACTCTCAAATCCTTCAGTCACTCCCTTCAACCTGGAAACACAAGTGCAAATAAGAATTGGATTTAATGAATTAAACAAACTTAAATATCTGAACTGACCTCCCTCTGTCCTCCACAAATCCTCCAGTCCTGGGTCACCCTCTGTAAATAAGCCTAATTACATTTTTTACTTACATCTCCCAATTCTCTTTTCATGTTTCTGAACACTAAGGTCTGGTTTAGAAAATCATCCTGTTCAAAAATGAAAAAAAAAAAAAAGGTTTCAAAATGAGATGGACTATTTTTATCCAACAAGCTGCATTTGTGGGCATGGAACTCCAATCAAAAAGGAGATCCATTTTTCCATACACCCATCATAAGCAAGTGGGTCATAATTTAAGTTTTCATTAATAATTGAAATCCTTCTTTTCTAGTACATCATGCAGCTTTGATGGGTTTTGAAAACAAGAATTGGACACACAAGTTTGAATTAATTGTTGCTTTTCTTCTCTCTGCTCCACACAGGCTCAAACAACCTAAATCTTTTAAAAATAGAAGGTTTCCAGAATGTCTTTTAACTTTACAGCCTGTTGACTTTTCATTTATGATCCCAAGTTTGTCCGTTCAAACAAATGCCCACAAGTAAAAGTTATTTGGATACATCATCACTTTGTCGAGGTTTGAAGCCCTGAAACCAAGACTCCAGTCTGCCATGAAAACATTGTCTGAAATCTGCATCTTGCCCTCAGAGTAAAGCCAGATGTCTTCTGAAGAAAAGTTTGATCATCAGATGAGAGCACTGTGGTGGTAACTTCATGCTGTTGTGGAGATGCCATGTTTCCTGTCACTAACCAGGGTTCTTGCAGCTCCTGAGGGGCAGGATGAGTCAAATGGTCTCACCTGTTCCTGCTCCAGTCTGATGGGGCTTGCTGGTATTGAACATTTGACACCTTTAGGTAACATTTCTGCAGTTTTGAAACCTTAACAGTGAAAATTTACCTATCAATGCTGGCCGTGGCATAGGACATATAGGCAAATGCTAAAAGTTCTTTCAATCTAGGGGGCGCCACAAATGAGGGGTGAAAAAAAATATTTTCTAACTTCATCAGAGTATAGTTGATTTTGTTTTAGAATAATCCCTGGTCACTCAGGTTTATGAAGGTAACTTGTTCTGCGTTGTTCTAACATGAGGTGTAATATGATGCAGAGGAGATTTCATGATAGAAGTATCCAGTGCTGGCTCTAGCCATTTTGGTGCCCTAGGCGAGTTGAAGTGCAACCCCACCCCCCGAACTATGTCCCACCCACCCCAATTTGAACCCCTAAAAACAAGTTTGACAGTGTAAGGTACTACAGTAAACTTAGATTTATTTGCCCCCCCCCCCCCCCGCCCCTGGGTGCGAGTTGTATGGATTTTTTTTTTTTGCAAAATTTATGGATTTTTTAAGGCTTTTTATACAGGTAAATGTCTGAAGAGGTTGACAGGTATGGGACAACAAAATACAGACTTGTTATTGAGTTTGTCAACACAAACTGCTACCTGAGAGGCACTACTAGCCCCTCCCCCATCAGAGTGTCAGAGCAGGATGAGTCAGTGCAACATCAATCACATGAGAGAGAGGGTGGGGGCGTTTGCTGCATGGGGGATGTTTTATGGGTAAAGTAGTTTATTTTTCCTGTAATACTTCATTATAGTTTTTTAAGTCAAAGCTAACTGAAAGGGGTGCTGAACAGAGTTACAACCAGGGATTACAGATAATTATTTTTTTCTTCTGCAGTTTGGCACCCCCTCCAGCAGATGGCGCTCTAGGCGACCGCCTAGTTCGCCTATGCCAAGAGCCGGCTCTGGAAGTATCATATTGTGTAGTCAAGACTAACTACTGCTCAGTGTGTAAATAGGAAACAAAACAAAAATAAAACATAATTGAAGTTTAATTCTTATCACAGATAAAGTTCAGGTTAAAGTCTGTTTTTTACCTTCATAAAATACAGATTTTATGTTGTTTTATTTATCCCAAGAATTTAGTAAAATGCTTTTAAAATGCCTGGAAAATGCATCATTTTGAGTAGATCTTTTTACAAAATTTTCCAGAGGAGAATACTCCTGGACCCCCCTACAACTGCTTCAGTCCACAGCTGCTGGTTAACATGAAAAGGTGTTCCTCATTGCTGTCAGCAGATGTTGGCATGTATGAGGTAAATGTCTGGTGTTCTGTTTCAAATGAATTATATTGTTAACTATTTTAACTGGACAACCTGATTTCTAAAGATAAAAAATAATATCAAAGACAAAACTATACATTTTTTAATGTGAATGTGTATAAATTGGCACAAGGGGCACCACCTGAAATCTTGCCTAGGCCCCAATTTGTCTAGGGCCGGCCCTGTTACCTACACAAGTTCTCTTCCTGTGAGACCTACAGCCCCACTCTCCAACAGGTCAGGACTCACCCTCATCATCTCCTGCTCCACTATTTGTTTCTTCTTCACCCTTACCTCCTTTCTATGCCTGAAAACAGAACAAACAAGCAAGAGTTATTCTTTGGCCTTTAAGGATCTTTAATCATTTGTGAACAGGATTACTCACCTTCCAACCTGCTTCCCCCACAGATTCATCCTGAGCTCCTGTTTCTCTTATCAAACACTGTAAAGAAAAGTTTTACCTTACTGTCTCTCACTGTCAGTTTGCCTACTCTGGCCATAAAATACAGTCCAAAAGTCACAGGACACCCTTTTATGAGGCGGCCATGATACGCACATTTGATTCAGATATTTCGTTTTACTTTTATTTCTGAACTAAAAGGGTGTCCTGTGATTTTTGACTCACCCTGGGTCAGGTTATGTCAGCTGTGGGGCAGGTGAAAAACCATTTCATTTTTAAAAATTTTTACTAATGCGCCTGAATGAAGCAGGCCAAGCTCACGTGTTTTTTAGGAAAATGTGGAGGTTTTATGGAAACGTCAATGAAAATGAATCAATTCAACCAGTAAATTTACATCATTATACAGACCTTTCCTTTAGGATCATAAATGAGATTTTTTTTATAAATGTCTAAGCTTTAAATCTGTTTTTTGAGCTTGATGAATTTGTACAGTTCCAATGTTTTAGTGACCTCAGCAGTTCTTGTGTTGATCCGTGACTCAGAAGAGTTAGGCTCCGCTACTTGTAACTACAAAATGACCTTACACAAAGAGAATGAAATAATAATAAAAGAGGACTTCACCTCACATCAGCAGGAAGAGGGTTAAAACTTCAGTGTTCCTCCACCCAAACGCACGTCAGAACTGGTTTCTGATTGGTTAAAACACATCAACCTAAGTTTCTGGAATGGCTTTCCAAATCCCTGATTTTAAATCTACTTTTGTTTGTTCTTTACAAAAGGAATAAATCCACTACCATCACTGGTTTGGTTCTTTTGACATTCTATTTGATCCCTCTGCAAAATTAAAGTAATTTGTTTCATTGTTTTGGTTAATGAGACCAAAAAGATCAGCTTCAAATGCCAAAACATGTACCTACCATGCAAACTGAATAATAATAAAGATGATTTCCAAATGTTAATCACCCCTTGACACATGAGGATGAAGACTGACATTCTTTGAAATGTTTCATTAAAATGTTGAATATCTAAACTGTCACAGAACTGTGAAGATACCTGGTGAGATCATTGAACATGATCCATGAGCATTTCTGAAGCGTCCGACTTCTGCTGTTTTTACAGCTCTAATGAAAAGAAAACCTGCGCAGCCTCATTTTTTGAAATCTTTATTTAGTCCAGGTCTCAACAGATCAAAAATGTTTTCACCCCAAATCATAAAGAAAGCAGAAGAACAAATGAGAAACATACAGTGGGAGTGTTTTCTGTAAAATTTGGCATACAAATGAATATTGCATTATTACAGTTTTACAAACAAATATACAACAAATACATCATAAATAGACTCTTTAATGAAACTCTTTAAGCTTGCAAGTTGTTATTTTATTATTTTATGTTTTGCTGCAAGAGAACCAGAGTCCTCCTTACGAGGAGTACTCGTACTCTTCAGCGCTGCGTCGTCCAAAATCCATCCACCCCAAGTAGTCCCTGTCTGCTATCCGATGGCTGCTGGTCAGTCCGCCACTTCTGTTGTTGACCATCGAGTTCCTGCGCACAGATCCTGAGGAGGAGGACAGAGAAACACCAGAGCATGAGTGGAATTGATATTCCTCTGAGTGCAGAGTGCGTCACTTCACAACACTGCGATCCTGCCTCTGGTTTCTTTAGATGCTCGAGTTCTGATGGGAGAACTTTTAATTCTTGGGGAAAGTTTGACAGATCTGAGAGGCTCTTAGTGACATAATTGGGCAAAATGTGAAGGTTTTCTGAACGAGACAGCTTTCATGTTCTTCAGACAGGAAGCTGTGGCTTTAAAATGTATTTTTAACTAACTGGATGCTTTTAAGACCAAAGAGTTCTTCATTTTTTTCCAACTTTTTCGGAGAACGTAAACACGTATTTGCCCTACTTTGACAGCTGAGGATGTTTGCTTTCTGAATCTGGGTTTTATGTGCTCTCTCTTTTGATTTGGAGCATTTTAATTGTCCATTCGTGGTTCTGTTCCCCAGAAGAAAGAAACTCTTCCACAACAGCAGGACTTGAGCCAGACAATCTCCCATTAGCCTTCAGTGCACACACATGACTGCGCGCGCTTCCTGTCGATAATTACCACAGACTCTTTGCACCCCTGCACAGCTTGTCCAACAGCCCCGATCTCCAAATCCCAGTTAGTTGTTTATTTATTTTGTAGAACTCCGAGCGAAGCCAAGCTGCGCCGCTTTCTGGTTGATAATCAATTGCACAGAGATGCACTTTTCACTCCACCCACATCCTCCCACGCAACACACACACACACACACACACACACACACACACACACACACATCTACACTAACTCATACACAATAATATACACATTCACAAAACACATACAGACACAAAAGAACTCTCCCTCACACACGTGCACATACATGTACACACAAATACACAAATCCATGCTGTCAAATCTGCTTTAATTTAATAAAAGTTTTAATACAAAAGAACAAAACAAGTAAATATTATTAATTTAATCTGTTTTCTAAAACCTTGTGTGAAGTCCTCCTGCTGCCAGGGGGCGCTGTGCTTCAGCCTCTGACTCACTTTGTGTCTTTGTTTATTGATTTTCAGCTCAAGTTGTTGTTTTTATGGAGAATCTTTTACCATCCGTTAATTACTTGGTGAGTTTTAATCGTGTTTATTTGCTAAATGAAAAACATTTAGTGAAAATAACTTTTCTTCAGAGACTCTTCAAAGGTTTAATGGGGCCATGTGGGGGGGGGGG